TATTTTTTTCTCTTTAATTTTACTCCCATTGATTGATTGATTGATTGTTGTTGTTGTTAAGTACTTTGATAACAGGTTCTGTTTTAAATGTGCTCTATAAATAAAGTTGACTTGACTTCACTGTTGTAATGTTTGATGGCTACAATGTATTTGTAATACAGGTAACTTACTGCTTCATTGTGGAAAGAAAAAAAACACATTTATTATGTAGAAGGTAGTTAATAAAATCTAGACACTTGTCTGTCCTCCTAAGACAAGTGTTTCCAAGCACAGGGCCAGAGTACAGTACTGGGCCTTGGATCATTTGACACCGGGCCACATAGGAAAAAGTTTGAATTAGATTTTTTTCTTTTGTTTGCATTAGTCTGCATGGTGTTTTATTTTGAAAATCAGTCACTTCTATCATGGCAATTTTAGCAATTGACAGTTGCATTTTTTTTTGTCATGCATACATGCATGCATGTAAGCTGTCAAACTTTGGCAAAAATGAGTAAAAAAACAAATATCGCTGGAGAGCTTCTTTGAAAAGTTTCAAGGCCTAACGAGGAGACAGAAGTCTCCACAACTAACACAAAACGAAAGCTGCATTTAAAAGAAAAGAGTTAAGTCCTGCATCAGTTATGACTTCATTAATAACAGGTGAGTCACGTGCTCTGTGTGATCATGTGACGACTGGCTAACCAATGAAGCCCTAAAACTTTCATAACTGTTTCACCACATGGAGACTCTGCATGCTTCATTAAAAGACAAGCCTTTGAAGATTTTTTAACCCTTCACCTCCCCCACACACGTTTTCTGTTCTTATGGTCTGATCTTACCGGCGACCTCCCAATTGCATAGTCACCTTTTCTAAACACAGACTCAAATAATTGCTTTAATCTCAACATTTTTATTTTTTTTTTCATTTAGCCTTTATTTATACAGGTAGTCTCATTGAGCCACGAGAACTCATTTTCAAGAGAGACCTGTTTAGGGAGCACATGGTGGGGGTTAAGGGCCTTGCTCATGGGCCCAGAGTGGGGCGAATGAGGGTGGGGGCAAGTGTGAGTGTTTCACCTACCCCACCCACAATTTTGATGTTGTCGGGGCCGGGGCATGAACCGGCAATCTTTGGATCACAGGCCCACCTCTCTAACCTCTGCGCCACCACTCCCGAAACATAATTATGTTTAGGTGTCTGAATGTAATTTCTACAGAAACATGATCAAATACTTCAAATACTTACTTCCGGTAAGATGGCGCCCGTGTACATGGCTTGCAATCCACCTCTGCTGATGGTGTTCGGATTATTTGTGTTTTGTTAGTTTTTTATCTGGGACATAAACTCGCTGCTGGTGTATGACCGACAACAGCTTCTGGATCTTCGTTTTTCTGCCGCCGATGTCACATATTTGGAGCATAATGATCATACCTTCCTCTTCAGCTGGTGGTCAGGGTTTCCATCGCCAGCTTCCCACGTGCCCGGACCAGGTAAACAACAGAGGGGCTGTTATTGAAAACCTGTGGCCATTGGTGCGTGCAAACTCCACCGCTGCTGGCTCCACTTTGGACAGTATCCGGATGTGTTTGGTCAACGCAAGATCTATTACCAACAAAACTTTTATCCTCAGGGACTACTTTCAAGGGTATGATTTGTACTTTCTCTGCATCACAGAGACTTGGATGTCTCCGGGAGAGTCCAGCGCCTTGACGGAATTATTGCCACCGAACCGTCTGTATTTTATCGCACCGTGGCCATCAGGCCGGCGCAGTGGTGGATTATTAACAATATTCAAATCAACTTTTGACTGTAAACAACTGCCCATCCCCGTACCAGCTTTGAGCTGAGCGTCTTTGAACTGGGCCATTCGCCTTCGACTTTATGTGCGCTCGTCTACCGCTCCCCTTAGTTCTAAGGACTTCATAAATGAGTTTTTTGATTTCTTGGCTGAAATCACACCAAAATATGATCATGTTTTCATTATTGGGGACTTTAATTTGCATGTGTGCTGTCCTGAGAAGCCCTTGGTTAAGGACTTTTTAGATTTATGGGACTCATTTAATCTAACTCAGCATGGAAACAGTCCCACCCAAGAGCGCGGACATACACGGGACCTTGTTTTAACTCGTGATATGACTGTTAGTAATCTTGAAATTGGTGATAATGTTTTTTCAGACCACATGCCAGTCCAGTTTGAGTTCACCCTCCACCATCTAACTCCTAAGCCGTGCATTCCTGCACGTAGTAGCCGGGCCATTAACCACTTCACTGCCTCACGTTTCACAGATGTTTATAACCCTGAAATGATAATTCAGCCCCCGGTGTTTCTCACCACTACTGAGGAGCTGACATCCCAGTTCAACTCTGTCTGCTTAAAGACTCTGGATCATGTCGCTCCTGTTAAAACTAGAAAATCAAATCTCAGAGCAGAACCTTGGCTGAGTGACATCACCAAGGCCGTTAGGCAGCAGTGCAGGAGGGCGGAGCGCAAATGGAGGAAAGACAGGCTGCAGGTCTCTTTTCAAATACTTAAATAGAGTTGGCGCCGTTATCAGAAAGCAGTAAAAGCTGCTAAATCCAAATACTTTTCTGATATCATTACCTCAAACTCTCACAACCCATGTGTCCTCTTCTCCACCCTAAACTCTGTTCTCCACCTCACTGAACCATCACCTCTGGAAGCCTCGACTGAGCTGTGCAACAACTTCTTACATTTCTTTGTGGAAAAAATTGCGACCACCAGGGCTCTCATTTCCCCTCCAACTCATGACCCATCCATCCCACCTCAATCTGTAGTTCTATTTGACCATTTTGAACCCATCACTCTATCTTCTCTAGAGCAGGTCATGTGCAGCTTGAAACCTTCTGGTTCCCCCTTTGATGTGGTCCCCCCTCGACTACTAAAGGAGGCTTTTCCTACTCTAGGTCCGTCCATTCTGGCCATAGTAAACAGTAGTTTATCCACTGGTGTGGTGCCAAAATCATTTAAACATGCTGCTGTCCAGCCTCTCCTGAAAAAACAAACCTTGACCCCTCAGTCGTATCCAATTTCCGGCCTGTCTCCAGACTCCCATTTGTTTCTAAAGTACTGGAGAAAATAGTCGAGTCCCAGTTGAAGTGCTTCCTCGAGGATCACGCCATCTTAGAGCTATTCCAATTTGGCTTTAAACCTCTCCACAGCACTGAAACTGCCCTGCTGAAGGTCTTTAACGACATCTTCAGATTCACTGATACCGGTGATTCTGTGCTGCTTGTCCTGTTGGACCTCACAGCCGCCTTTGACACCATCGACCATGAGATCCTCATTGCTAGGTTAGAGCAGTGGGTGGGCATCACAGGGTCAGCCCTCAATTGGTTCAGATCCTACCTCACTGACAGATCCTTTTGTGTCTCCATCAAGGATTTTTGTTCTTCAGTGGCAGAGATTAAATGGGGGGTTCTCAGGGGTCCATGCTGGGTCCCCTCCTTTTCTCTCTATACCTGCTGCCACTTGGTGCTATTTTCTGGAAACACAACATACCCTTTCACTTCTACGCCGACAACTGTCAAGTTTACTTCCTCCTACGACACAATGGTACATGCTCTATTCAACTCCTGCTTGACTGCCTGGCTGACATCAGGGACTGGATGGCTTTAAACTTCTTA